AAACAACTCTACTGTAATTGTTCATTGTATTATATATACCTTTCAAAATACATATCATTAAAAATAAAGACTTTTTTTCTTACTTTTAAGAAGTCACTTTTGCCATCCATGATATTGCTCAACAAACTGTCTTCTAGTGTCAGTACACAATCTGCCTTTTCGTCCTTTGATTGTCCCCTGGATATTTTTCCTTTGCCGTTTTTTAAATCTATAGCTAGAGAAGAAAATAAGGCATTTATAAAACAACAGTGAATAAAGGTTTGTGTGAGAATTTTAATATGTTTGTTATCTTGAAACCAATAATAAAATTTTATAGCAATTAATATTAACGTTTATGATGCTATACTTATTAATAACGACAGCAGTGTTTAACGACAAACTCAAAAATAAAAAACAACAAAAGTCGTTTCCTTTTTTCTATAATGTGAAGATACGGGGGGGTGTAAAAATAAACACTTGTTTGTGTAAACTCTTTGAATTAGGAATATTTCTCAACAAACACTTGTTTGTGTAAGCTCTTTGAATTAGGAATATTTCTCAATAAACACTTCTTTGTGTAAACTCTTTGAATTAGGAATATTTCTCAATAAATACTTGTTTGTGTAAACTCTTTGAATTAGGAATATTTATCAACAAACACTTGTTTGTGTAAACTCTTTGAATTAGGAATATTTCTCAATAAACATTTCTTTGTGTAAACTCTTTGAATTAGGAATATTTCTCAATAAACACTTCTTTGTGTAAACTCTTTAAGTTAGGAATGTTTCTCAATAAACACTTATTTATGTAAACTCTTTGAATTAGGAATATTTCTCAATAAACACTTCTTTGTTAAACTTTTTGAATTAGGAATATTTCTCAATAAACACTTCTTTGTGTAAACTCTTTGAATTAGGAATATTTCTCAATAAACACTTGTTTGTGTAAACTCTTTTAATTAGGAATATTTCTCAATAAACACTTGTTTGTGTAAACTCTTTAATTAGGAATATTTCTCAATAAACACTTGTTTGTGTAAACTCTTTGAATTAGGAATATTTCTCAATAAACACTTCTTTGTGTAAACACTTTGAATTAGGAATATTTCTCAATAAACACTTCTTTGTGTAAACACTTTGAATTAGGAATATTTCTCAATAAACACTTCTTTGTGTAAACACTTTGAATTAGGAATATTTCTCATTGAACTATGTTATTTTTGTATGCAAACTTAAAGAATTTATTTTGAACATATTTTCTGAACTAAAGTTGAAAAAAAAAACATTTAACTATGCTGCTAATATATCTGAAGTTTTCCTATTTATAATGTCCAGTCTTATAAGTTTGAAACAAACATATTATAAGACTTACTCCATTGAGAAGTTAGTTCCCCATCCTTTAAAACGTTCCATTGATATATAGCCTGAATTCTAGAGATAAATCCAGGATTTCCTCCAATAATGATAGCAAGGTTCAGAAATACGTAATCACTTCTGATATCTGTCCGTATGGGCTAGGAGGTAAATACAGTTGTAAGAAATCATGAATGATTAGATCTATCAGGACAAAACATATGTTTTTGTTTTGTAACTTAAGCGTATTTATTCATACCTTTCAAACATTTCATTATATGTATATGTATATTGTCTTAAATTCATTAACGTAAAAAATAGAAAACTGAAACAAACAATTCATAGCTAGGGTTCAGGTATAGACGTCCCTAATTTTGGACTAATGAATAGAATGAGGGCAGACAGACAGACCACCCGCCGACTCAAGGGTTTTCTCCAGCTTTTTGAACCGAATAAATAAAATTCAGTATTATAGTTGATTATAACGCATCCAAAGCTAAAGAGCGGATGTTTTGTCGATACAACATAAGACTCAGTCTGTATGTTAAAAAAATATATAATAAGCTTGTAGCTGTTTACAAAAGAACTCTTAAAAGTTCAGTTTAAATTGCAGTCAAATATTCAATCTTCGGTAACGAAATGTCCCCTGGTGGGACAGCAGTAAGTTTTCGAATTTACAACGCTAAAATCAGGGGTTCGATTCCCCTCGGTGGACACAGCAGATAGCTCGATGTGGCTTTGCTATAAGAAAACACACGGTAACGAAATTTTTTATTATTTTTAACTTTATAATTTATTTACAGAACACTAACTAACGGCATGAGTTAGTGGTCAGCGTATTGGACTTGTGATCCGAGGGTCTCGCGTTCAAGACCTGAGGCTACTAAATACACGTTGTACTTTCAGCTTTGAGTGCGTTATAACTTATAGTAGCAATCATTTCCGCTACTTGGTTAAGTAGTTTAAACTGCTGTTTAAACTGCGAGATGGCTATGCCTGAAACACAGTAATCTGTGACTTGGCGGCTTACCCCAATGTGTGCATAAGATGGCATTCAGGTGAACAAACAAACAATACTTGACTGTCTCCTGGTGGTCACAAAAAAGAAACCTATCATTCTATAGGTATTTGAAGAACTTGTAGCATTCCGCCACAATTTAATTCTTTGTATTGTTAGCCGACACTGGACAGCTTGTACATAATTGAATAAATAAAGTTGTTTAAACATTTGTTTAACATTTGTTAATTTTAGCCCTGCCCCTCAAAGGTCTTTATGATATTTACTGAGCTATCATTAATGAAACGTTGTTATTGTTGTCAATTTTCAGGTAGGTTTCATGTAGACCAACAGAATTTTAACAGTTCTTGAACTTTGAGTTGTTAATCTTCATGCTATAAAATGATGTTGTTGTTTTTTTGCAATCGGTAAAATTTCAGAAAATACATAAACATTTTTTTACACTTTGTTATTTATGACAGGCTTACATGACAGGAAAACTTAAGTTGAAAGGCAATATCATGCTCACGCAGAAGTTAAATGAACTGTGGAAGGATATGATAACGTCTGGGAGAGTTTTGGAATTAACGTTATTATCTCCGCTTCTTGCCGAAGATGTGGTAAGTTCTTTAGTATACTAGTCTTAGGTGAAGTTTGTTTGTTTGTGTAAAACACTTAAATACACCAGTTCGATTTTCGATACCTCACTATTATAAAGGCTTGGTTTGGTCTGATATTTCATTCCCCATTTATCTATCCTGATTCATAATACTCGATATACCTGTTGCCAGTTCCCCCACAATCTCCATTTTATGATATAGACTGGTTAGTGTTCACCCATATTTCTACGGATTGTCTCCTCCATCTGCAGATATCGGATATCGCATTTTCCCCATTTTCCGCCACCTGTGATGACTTTCACGCTTACCCATCTATTATTCATTTTACCCATTTTTCTTTTTTCGACCCTTGGCTGACGAGAGGGCGTAACCCTCTACCGGGATCGGAATGAAATAGCGCTTATGTTGTTGTTGTTGATATTTGTCTAGGGTCACTGATGAGGAGTGGAATTCTCCGAAACTAGTCTGGCTCACAGACCACCCCCCCCCCCCAATGAAAGAATAGACCATTCCAAATTTTGCTTGTTGTTAAACAAATGTTTAAACAAATATATTTATTCAATTAAATATAAAACAGTTGATTTCTTGCCATTAAAACGACAAATGGTGGCACTTTTCTAATGTCGTGGTTTACTTCTCAATCGATATACACGATAAAAAGTTAAGTTTTTTTCAATATAATATTCAATATAAATCCTTCGGAAAACCGTGACATAAACTGAACTTAGTTTATTCATGTACAAGGGATACCCCTTAGGCTAATGAAACCTTTTTTTTTTTGGCTGTTACCAATTAAACTTCATAAAGAAATCAGCCAATTGAGAGAATTTTAGTAAATATATATGAAATAATTAATAGAAACTAAAAACGTACAAAAATGTAAAGCAAATATCCAAACAGAAATTTCTAGGGGTTCAAAGTACTTTTGTGTTATTTGATATATGCAAATTCGATGATAAAACTGAAAATAACATGTTGTAGATGTTATTGAAAAATATTGTAGACAGAATTTAAGAAGGCAATATAAGCTTTTTTTAATCAAAATTTTACGCCAATGGTTACAAAGTTTTCGTATTCATTTTACACCACAAAAAAGATTTATTTAATCAATTTTACTGCAACAATGCATTATGATTTTCCACCATATATGAATGGCAAAAAAAAAATATCTAAAGAAAATGATCTGGCAGTACTGGAGTATTTCAGATCCTCAGTATGATATAAAACTAACTGCTTCATTTCTTAAAACCATTTCAGATCACTCTTGATGATATAATATAACACTAACTGGTATATTTGTTAAAGCCATTTCAGATCACTCATCATGATATAACATAACACTAACTTGTACATTTGTAAAAGCCATTTCAGATCACTCATCATGATATAACATAACACTAACTTGTACATTTGTTAAAGCTATTTCAGATCATGATATAACATAACACTAACTGGTACATTTGTTAAAGCTATTTCAGATCACTCATCATGATATAACATAACACTAACTGTTACATTTCTTAAAACCATTTCAGATTACTCTTGATGATATAACATAACATTAGCTGGTACATTTGTTAAAGCTATTTTAGATCTATCATCATGATATAACATAACACTAACTGGTACATTTGTTAAAGCTATTTCAGATCACTCATCATGATATAACATAACACTAACTGCTACATTCCTTAAAACCATTTCAGATCTCTCATCATGATATAACATAACACTAACTGTTACATTTGTTAAAGCTATTTCAGATTACTCATGATGATGATATAGCATAATACTAACTATTACATTTCTTTACTCATGGATTATATTTAAAGTTCAGTTCGTGAAACTGCATCTCAGATTAGTTCTGTTTTATCTTGATTGTCTAGATTCCAGAAAATGTAATTTTTAAAGCAACGACAGTGTATACCTTCTCAGATTATCTGTCCACTACAAACATTACGCAAGAATAACAATTATTATCATAAAAACTATCTCAAAAATCACCAGAAATTGAATTTATCAACAGTGTCGAACTCTTCAGTTTATGTTTACCCTTTGTGCGTTGAGTTTTCCCTGTATCAACGAAATCATGTCGTCGTCATCAATCATAAGCTGACAACCATATTGTCCATTTTTGGGTGGTCCATCGTAAAGTTGGCCAAACGGCCCACTTTTCAAATCCAGTGCTACGAACCAGAATTAACATTGAAATTTATGATTAGAAGTTGCGCTTGGCAAGTAATTTAAAAAAAATATATTTCGTTTACATTAAATTAAGTTAACAACCCTAACTAACATAAGTTTAACAATACGATGTCATATATTCCCGAACTATGTTCATTAATTTATGAAATGTTTACAAAGGTAGTTATTTAAATCATAATAACTAAAATTGGACTGAAATACTTAAACTGGTTTCTTCACATAGGTGGTGAAGAAAAGAAAATCAGTACTGAAGTAATCTTATTTAGTCGCATCAGAAAGCAAATTAATACCTTAGAGTTCAAGTTATTGTTAACATTCTCAAAATAAACTGGCCCCAGTGGCACAGCGGTATGTCTACGAGTTTACAACGCTAGAAACCATGTTTCGATACCCGTGATAGGCATAGCACAGATAGCCCATCGGGTTGCTTTATGCTTAACTTCAAACTAACAAACACTTAATTAACTTCAAACGAAAAATATAACGAAGTAATTTTGTCAATTAGTACTTTGTGAATGTTCTCAGGAAGACTACGAACTTTGTTCTTTTTCTGTTGTTTACACGAATTTAATATTTCAATCATTGTACGAATCAATGGCAGTTTCGATCTTAATACCTTGAACCATAGTTGAAATTTTGAAACCTTCACACACACACACACATATATATAATAGTTATACGTTTTAAAAATAATCATATTTACAAACGTTTTCTTTTTACATTTTTTAAAGATAAATTAGAACAATTTGAGTAAATAACGGAGGTTAAAAGATGAATATAATAAATGTCTTTCGCCGAACTTTATTCTTAAGCCATGTACCCTGAAAAAAAAAATAGTCAGGTGTCCATCTGGCAATAAAAGGGAAAATTTCATGTTAAAATCTATAAAATTCCTTATAAGTTCAGCCGTTAAACTATTAAAATTGTATATGCTGCTTGATTTAATTGTTTGTTTGATTAACTGTTTATGGCAAAGCTACTTAGGCTAACTTCTATCATCCCTAGCTTTGAAATGATGATCAGAGGAAAGGTAACTAGCCTGCAATACTCCTCGCCAACTATTGGGATATTCTTTATCAATGAATAGTGAGATTGATTGTAACATTATAACGCCACCAAGGCTGAAAGGGTGAGCAAGTATGATACTAGGTTTCCATCCTGTGACCCTTAGATTGGGAGTTAAGCAGCCTAACCACCAAGTCCCATTTGATTTAATAAAGCATAAAATAAGTCAAATGAATATCAAAGTTTGGGATATGTTTTAATCATTCCTAAACACACGTGTTTGGTATTTTAAACCTGAACAACGCCTTATGCCATGCCTATGGACTAACCGGGCAAGTCAGAAATTCCTCTAGAGTTCATGCACATCCATCCTTAACATAAGACTGCTGAACAGAGAAACAAGGCATACAGTCAGCAGCACCCGCCACCTATACAGTTGCTTATAACCATATAACAGGATTAATTATAACACCTAAAATGCTTTACATAGAAGCGTTTTCAGCTGTGTATCGAGGCTTTTAACCCTGGACTCTTTTTTTTTTATCTATAGACCGTCCTCCAAAAATACTCCTACCAACTTAATAAAATGTTTTGGTAAGTTTGAATTTATTTTCAAACACACTGCCATGAAAACTTAATGTTTAATTGTAAGATCCATCGGGGTTTAAACTTGTATATTTGTTTGTTTGTAGTTAAGCACAAAGCTACACAATGGGCTATCTGTGCTCTGCCCACCACGGGTATCGAAACCCGCATTCCAGCGTTGTAAGTCCGCAGACATACGGCTATGCCACTGGGGGGCTTAAACTTGTAATAAAAAGAAATGTTTTTATCTCACGTTCTTCCTATTCTTCCAAGTATGATGATATTGAACAGTGACTGACAAGGTCCACATAAGAGTAACAACTACAACAGCTGTTCGTTTTCAATTCATTATTCAGCACCAAGTGAAAGAAATTTATCTCAGATGAAAATTACTTTTTTTTCATTCAATACGGATATGAATAGTTCCTAATGTACCATTCAAGTCATCAGTTAAAACACCGACAAAGTACTTCCGTTTACACGCGCGTCGATATCAACCATTCCTTAAGTAGTTTGTTTATTTGAATTGATGGATTTGCTCGAAGCTATGAAAAGGTTATTTGCACTAGCTCATAAAGTAGGAACAAATATTCGATATTTGGAGTACTTTCCACCTACGAAACGAAACATTTCAACCTGACAATTTTATAACAGGAGAAAACAAGCAGTTAAACATTTTCGTTGTGGATATTCTGAATAATTTGATATTGAATATATATGTTGAGAAAGAGAGAGAGCCGAATGAAAGTTGTTAACTGAAAAATATTCGTGTTTTTGACGAGATATAGTCAGAACTGAGTCAAATTATCAAATCTCTAGTGTTTATCATGTTACATAAAAGAATGTGTGTGTGTGTCAGATAACCAAACCTAGAGAACTAAAAGTTTATACCGGCCCTTAACCATGCACACAGTGGCACAGAGGTATGTCTGCGAACTTACAACTCTAGAAACCGGGTTGCGATACCCGTGGTGGGCAGAGCACAGAAAGTCCTTTGTATAGCTTTGTGCTTAACTACAAACGAACAAACAAACAATTTCTTTGCCCCCCCAGTGGTATGTCTGTGGATTCACACCGCTAGAAACTGGGTTTCGATATCCACAAGGTTTCCGCCATTATATGAGCAATTAGGGAATATGTGTGTAGCATGTCTGTAAGGATTAGGTACAGGATATGCTGTGCTTTCATGTCCTAAGCCTATGGATACAGCTATTGGGTTTGGGTTTAGCGAATTTAAAAGAAAACTATCACCCCAGCAAATTCCCATATCAAATGGATGCACTTAATAGGTCTCCATCATAAGATTTATAACAACAAAATAAGCTAAGACCTAAATGAGTTTGTAAAAACATAACTGTGATTAATAATGGTTGGAGATGGCTTGAATGGGTAATGAAGAAAACCTTTAATATAAGTTTAACATAACAGCAAATGTACAACGTTTCGACAAGGTTTTGTCATCATCAGGTACAGTAACTGTGATTAGGAAAACTACAAATAGGTTTCCGGTGCTGAGACGGGTAATCATCGTAACAAAATTGACATGAAAGGGCCAGTTCCTTACTCTATATGGGTTTGTAATTTTAATTAAGGTAATGGTTAATCGTCCAGATGTGGTTAGGTTATGCGCTCGTTGCAGAGGTACCGGCTGAGTACACAGTACCAATATTCAGACATTGAGATCAAACTGTACACGAGTCTATCGAGTGTAAAACTAGTTGTAAAAGTATAGAAGAAATCACGTCTTCTGTTCTTTTCAAGTGAAGATCTTCGTTTCGGTCACAAAGTTGCATACAACTGTGATGAACCCAAACGCGATGGAACACCAATTGCGAAGAGAAGAAAGTTAATAACAACAGTAGGAAGGAAACTGAGAAGCTTATCATTCACGCAAACTCTGGCAACAGTCAAAGCAACAGTAGGAGAATAAATTATTCAGAAAATACATCCGAATCAACCGAAAGAATAAAACAGTATTTTAATTAACTCGGAAAACTAGTTTGTAAATGTCGTGTGAACTGAATATTTAAATCTTTTTCCCTTGTATGACTATCAAGCTGAGATATACGAGTTTATTGATTCTAAAGAGCCAGTGTTGTCCTTTTAAAAAATGGTGCTGGAATAGGATTTCTCAAACAGAATAAAGTTCTGAGCTCAGAAATCTCAATAAACTATTCTTTAACAGAAATTACATCAAAGCTTTATATAGTACTTGAGAAAATAACCCTATAATTGCACAAAGGGTTATTGTATAAAAGATGCGACAGGTGGCGATAAAATTTATTTCGGTTGAGTAATCCTGTATTACTAATAAGATCATACTCAATAAACGTCTTATGGTTCTCGTTTACATTAGTTATTTTAGTGTTGCAATTTTTGTGTTTCAAGTTTAATATAATTTTCATTTAAATTTATTCACTTACAATAAACAAATACAATATTCGAATATATTTCATTGAAGCCGGGCTGTGAATTGGAAAGTTCCAGGTTTTCTTTGTGATGCCACTGAACAGCCACCCTCAACTATAGACGAGTTATGAAAGTGACAGTCAAAGACCTTATGGGGGCTCTCTGGCCTCCGTTTGATCAGTAGTTCAAACTTATGGATGGCTTACCTGGACTCTTTTACTACTCTGACCTGTACATTTGGCCCACGTGTTGCATGGTGAGCTGTTCAAGTTGAAAGTATCAAAACTAAGTACAGTTTGTTGTCTGATGCTGGAAACTTCGCACCACAAAATAATGTTCTCTAAGTCCTGTTCGCAGTGATTAGTGTACTTTCTTTATAAAGCCTTGTTCGTGAAATGTTTTCTGGGGTAAATGCTGGAAACATAATATTTTGCAATATATAATAACGTATTTTCTTTAGTATTCTTTAACGATCATCTTTGAATGCTGCATAGTTGTCTTGAAAAACATTAAGTATCAATCGCTAACTGAAATTTTACTGAAGGGATTGTACATTTTATACTTGTACTGTGGGAAGCAAAACTTAAAAGAAGCATCACAAAGAAGATCTAACCATTGAAATTGTTTTCTCAGCTTGTCAATCTTGAGTTCAGTCAAACCAACAGTCATGAAAAAAAATATCCACTAGTAATAACTTCCTCGACTATTCCATCAGTTTTTGTCTGATGTTGAAAATATGAATAGAAAATTTCTAGCAATCAGTCTAGCCTTGTTTTTATTGTGTTTTTAGAGTAAAAACTTAGGTGTTGAAAGGAATGTATCCTGGAATTTGAGCTGTTTATTTTTTACTTACTCCATTCTTTAGCAATCTTTCCTTTCTTGGTAATTTTCCAATGAAATGTTACTTTCATTTGATCAGAAATACCGTGTTCTTTTTGTAGAACTGTCTTAATCACATTGAATACCAGCTCACTTTTCAGGCCAAGTAAAGGCTGGAAAAAAAAATACAATTTAGAGATACCACGATGACGAAATATTTAAAATTTGCATTTTAAAATAACATAATTTTAATATAGTTTATCAACGTTCGCAATGAGTTATTGTAATATTCAATGATTTCGTACTATACCTTGGCAGAATATGATGTATTGTTATTTGAGCCTTTTGTGTCAAGTTGTTGATTTTTCCATAATTCCTGGAGACTTTGTATAGCTTGCACGTCACCGGAGATTTTAATTTGCCCAGACGTGAAAGCCTATAGGTAAAACAACAACAACATTTTTCATGAGTGTAATTTAATAGCCAACTTTAATCAAACAGGGTCCAAAATATGTATAGTTTATTATTGCACCTTTTTGCATAACATACTGGTATTTCTGTATACAGTTCAAATGATCTCTATACGTTTTATATATTCGATCTTAGTAAAATAACTTTTCCTATTAAAAAAAAAATATTTTTTTTTCAATCTATTAAAGGATTTAATATATTCTTATTAACTTGGATCTGTCTTAGCTGAAATAGCTACTAAGTGTACTCTTCTATAACTATTACAGGATATATCTTTAGTCAGGTATGTTCAGATAAATTTTCTAAAGCTCCATGCAGTTCCTGCATGTACTTAATCGCGTCTTTGTTTTACCGGATGTTGAAAGGTCATAAACACGTACTGATCCTTTTCAACAGGTTAAGGTTACACACAACAACTTAAGTCTCAAGCTGGCATGTACTAGGTTTTTAGAAGGTATCATATTCAAACGTGTGGCGCAGAAACCTATACATATTGCGTTGGATAAAGTGTGTGACCTATATTATGGGACACTGCACTAAGGCTTTGGACTCAATAAAAAATGGATTATTTCCATGATTTTCTTGTTTAGCTCTCATGTTTCTGGACTTGTTCAGTTCTTGTTTCTGCCTTCGACCTCAGCAGCCAGACAGTAGACATACAGAATATAAATCCTGCCATAAACACTGTGATGTAAATAATGAATTTTATGTTTCGAAGTTTACTTGTGTTTATTTATTTTCCTTTGCTGTTCATATTTTATTTATTATTCACTTAACAGTTCCAAACATCTGTTTGTGGATACTTATAATCGTCTGATGGATATCTGAGTACTTGCTTGCCACAGACCTACATTATATTATGACTAACAGCTTATAAGGCTAATTATTTCCATTTAAAACTTACCTGTATTAAATAATTATTCACTAAAATCACAATGATGTGTTTACAATAATGAAAATATATTTTTTTTTCCCGAGTACTTTAGTTTGTATTTTTAACAATAATTAGAAAGGAAACCAACCTTTTCTCCGTCAAGTTTTTCTGTTATGATTCGAACTAGATCATCATCTTCTATGGTTACGGTATAATCAGCTACTACATCTTTAGGCAGCCCTCTGTACACACTTCCATTTTTCAGATCTAAAGCTACAAAATCAAAGAATAAAGGTTTAAAAAACATAATGATAAAGCTTCAGAAATTATAACGACAATTAAAAAGAATACGTCAAACCACAATCAATACAAGATGTATTCGTTTATTTGTTTGCTGTCAAGCACAAAGCTACACAACAGGCTATCTGTACTGTACCCATCACGGGTATCGAAAAACCGGTTTTTAACGTTATAAGCCTCAAGACTTACCGCTGAGCCACTGGGGGATACAAGATGTAAAAAAAGTAATTAATAAATGTATTTCGTTTAAAAATTCCTTGGTATCACATGATGGCCATAAACTATTGTTTAAATAATTATTTAGTTAGAAGAGAGCTGTAGTAGTTTCGTGGTTTGGTAGCCAGAGCGTGAATCCGAGGATCCATGGTTAGCGCCCCGTTGCTGCAAAATCGCGCTCCACGCGTAGGACCCGGGTGGGTGTTATAAGAGTGACGGTCAAATTCGATTATAATATCCCAGGAGTTGGAGGAGGACGCTGTTGCCTCGTTGCCTTCCCTTTAGTTTATCTGTTCAAAAGTAGGGACGACTAGTGCAAACAGACATTGAGTGGCTTTGCGCAAATATCCAAAAACCAAACAAACAATCTAAATTTTAATTATATATATTTTTAGATTTCATGGCAAAGTTTTTCTTTCTTTTCGTCACTAAATGCAAATGACAGTTGCCTCACACGTAATATTCTCAACTTGAAACAAACAGATAAATCCACTTGTTTTCTGTGTAAAAATCCCTTTTATTTTATAAATAACTGTTAAAGTCTCATATACTTTATTTGTACAAATAGTTAAAAGTCTAATACTTTGCTACTAGTTGCAAAGGAGCGATTTTGTAGCGATGTGAACAGCATAGTTTTATATTGTTCGATGTCCTTATTTTGTATTGGTTTTTAACCCGTGTTGAAAAACCATGTTGTAAATGTTGTTTGATAAATACGTTAAATCCTCCCTCAGTCATTGTTTGTACTGTTTTACTATCATTTTGATTAGGCTTTATATTTTAAATTTTGACATTACTTTCTTGCGTCATATTTTTTATCTTAAACTTATGACTCCTTCAGTCTATATTTCAATAATCAAATATGGTCTATTACAACATACTCTGAAGTTATTTTATTAGTAAATAATATGGAAGTTTTATAACTTTGAACTTTCCACTACATTCTACTATTGACTCCATTACTTGTTGTTTGTTGACTTTCCCTAATTTTGAAATGATAGACTAGAGGAAAAGCAGTTAGTTAAAATCATCCTACGTCAACTCTAATCGAACAGTGTAATTTGAATTCACCCACAGTTCCATGGTAGGAAGCGCGATTTATTTTTTGTGGTAACGGGACGTGACCATGATATCTCGGCACGCTAACCTCTGAGCCACTGTCGACCCAGGCACCACTACACTAATACTCTTAATAATTCCCGTATTTTCGTAAATTACAACAGTAAATAAATCGTTTTTACGGACGGCTCGTAAATCAGTTATATATAAAGACTTGATGTTGTCAAGACCATAAACGTAAAAACTTGAATACAAACAGTCTGTAATTTTTTGTCCTCTTGTGACACAACGGTAACTATCATTTTTTTTTCTTGAAAACTGTAAAAAATAGGGCATTAAAAGATTTAAAGGCTATATAATCTAAAATTCGTTTTTAATATTTAACACTATACACTTAGTGTGATTTTATCATCAGAAGAACCATTAATTAACTCAAATGATGAACAGCGAATCAGTTTTCGTCTCGTGCAGCGACTCCCCGTTCCACTAAACATGCTACCCTTTCAGCCGTGGGTGCGTTATAATGTAAAGTTCAATCCCACTATTCGTTGGTAAAAGAGTAGCCCAAGAGTTGGCGGTGGGTGGTGATGACTAGCTGTCTTCCTTCTAGTCTTTCACTTCTAAATTAGGGACGGCTAGCGCAGATAGCCCTCGTGTAGCTTTGCGTGAAATTCAAACCAAACTGCTATAGCTATTGCCGAACAGTCTTTTTGCACAATATTAGGGTTCTTCAGGCTAGCTGAGATACGACAACGGTACTTATAAGAACTTTTGTGTAAAATTTAATAAAAAGATTGTGTAACAGTATGTTGCTGGTCGATAGTTAAACATTGAAAATGTAACAAAACTGCAGCACATTTCTTTAAAACTTGGCACGCATTTACTGTCATAAAAACGTCTAGTTTTCCTACTCTCAAAGTGTCATTAAAGTACGTTCTTGATTTGAAAACACATGGAGTTTTGCGTCAGTCATCTGCTTTGTCGTGTTAGTGGGCTAGCTTCTTGTTTTTACAGCTCTTCAGTTTTATGTACAAGTGAATACATAAAGTTAATCAATGTATGTAGCTCGCTTTGAATAGTAGTTACTGATAAGTATCTTGTCTATTACAACTCTCCCCGTCCCACTAAACATGCTCGCCCTTTCAGCCGTAGAGGCGTTATGATGTTACGGTCAATCCCACTATTCGTTGGTAAAAGAGTAGACCAAGAGTTGGCGGTGGGTGGTGATGATTAGCTGCCTTCCATCTAGTCTTACACTGCTAAATTATGGATGGCTAGCGTAGATAGCCCTCGTGTAGCTTTGCGCGATATTCAAAACATAGAAACAAACGCCCCCCAGTGGCACAGCGGTATGTCTGCGGACTCACATCGCTAGAAACCGGGTTTCGATACTCGTGGTGGGCAGAGCACAGATAGCCCTCGTGTAGCTTTGTGCATAATTAAAAACAAACAAACAAAACAAGAAACAAACTATTACAACTCTACATATCTTCTAAAACAAAGCTTATGGGTAATTCTGCGGTACTTTTGGAGCTATGTTGTCCTTAACGCGACGTTTGAAGTCACAGAGCACACAAATATTAAATACATTTATATCTAGCTCCAGGATTTCAGCTATTATTGTTATCATTCTAGAATCATAAAACAAAAGCAGTTACTTAGTATGACTTCCATATTAAATAACTCTAAGAAAACTATTTGATGAATTGATTATGGATTTAATAAATTCGAAAAGTTTCACTAGACTGGTTTGTTTAGGATTTAGCGCAAAGCGACACGAGGGCTATCTGTGCTAGCCGTCCCTAATTTAGAAGTGAAAGACCAGAAGGAAGACAGCTAGTCATCACCACCCACCGCCAACTCTTGGGCTACTCTTTTACCAACGAATAGTGGGATTGACCGTAACATTATTACGCCCCCACGGCTTAAAGGACGAGCATGTTTGGTGGGACGAGGATTCGAACCCGTGATTCGCACCCTAACCACCTGTCCATGCTGGGCCAGCTATAGCAGACCTATTGGGGGTTTGAAATCACCAGAAGGAAAGTATCCCTGTCTGAAACATTGTGCACATTAAAAAATCTTTTTATCAATTA